TCCAGATTCTGCAGATTTGCCAACCAAGTACCAATAATACCATTACTCCAGCTTATTGGTATTGTAAAATATTCTCAATTCCATCCTAATTACATAACAGTTTGCAACCCGTTTCTAGTAAAAAATTAGATCATTTGATAACAGTAGTAAAAAAATAATAAAAAATAAATCTTTACAGTATCATGCACTATACAATTGAACTGGAAATATGTATCTATAAGTATTGAACCATTGATGTCAGATGAATTTCTAGAACTGATCACTCACAACAGTGAAATTGTGCTATATGTTTTAGTTCATATATCAGCCTGGTAGGCAAAGAAGGACTCAAATATATAAAATGATGAAGACGATGATGCTGTGCGAGAAGTGATGGAATTAAGTGCCAGGTTATGTGAAGATGCACAGCTGTCTCCCCTAAAGGGCAAAGTCAGCTTGATGATTTACTCCTGCTATACAAATTGCCAAAGTATTATGTGACCCTAGCAAAATAATTTTTTCAACATGAAGCTTTGCATGTGAAGACATTAATGTAATACTTCTAGAACATGTGGCTAGTGTAATGGATACAACAGTTGAGACAAGAAACCTTATAAATGTATGACGGAGCAATATCTTGGTAGATGGTCTTGCAAAAATAGCAAGGGCCTCATTTGTTCCAAATTGAAAGTTATCCGTCAAATTCGGTGATGACATAGGACAGAGCGAAGGTGCAGTTGATCTTGGCGCCCTGACTCGCGAGTTTTTACGCCTGTCTATTTGGGAACTTTTTGAGTCGTCAATGTTTCCTGAAGAAACAGGCAACAAGGTCCTTGTGCCTAATGCTAAAGAAAGGTATATACATACTACCTACACATTTGTATGTCAGGGTTTAATAATATACGGGGTGTATCAGAAAAAACTAGAAGATTTTAAAATGTCCAGAAAACTATCATTTTATCAAAATATTTCAAAAATATATTTACGTCTAAGTATTTTAACATCTCCTGGCTTATCTAACAGTAAAAGCTATCAGGAAAATTAACCTAAAAAAGCGGGAAAACGGTTTGTAAAAGCCTCATTTTTAACCGCTTGCGCAAAGAAAATGAGAGGTTCAAAATCCAAGTTCATTTAAAGAGATGAAAGTTTGGACTCTTTTGTGCAATGTATTAAAATTTCAGGAAATTTGATAAACATTAAGTCCGCCGTGAAATGTTTCAAAATTGGACTTTTTTCTGTTTACTCCGCTCTCGCGTAACCTTTTTTTATGCAAGAATGATTACATGCATGAGTGATGGTTCGAATGACGTACTTAAAACATAACTAACAATGAATACTCTTGTTTCATTGTTTTATTTAACAAAGAGTCCTGGTAATTACACCTGGAGAATGCAAAAGTAGGGCAGAAGTTTGCGTGCAAAGAAATGGAGGACATGTTGAGAACTAACAACAAATTTTGTAAACTCTGCTCTTGTTTGCAATTGTGTACTGTTTGACGTTTTTGTGTAGTTTATTTTTAACAATAGCATTATTAGATACAGCATCAATGTAAGGAGGTATAACAATAGGATTGTAAGTACGTCATTTGAACCATCACTCATGCATGTAATCATTGCATGAAAAAAGGTTACGCGAGAGCGGAGTAAACGGAAAAAAGTCCAATTTTGAAACGTTTCACGGCGGACTTAATGTTTATCAAATTTCCTGAAATTTTGATACATTGCACAAAAGAGTCCAAACTTTCATCTCTTTAAATGAACTTGGATTTTGAACCTCTCATTTTCTTTGCGCAAGCGGTTAAAAATGAGGCTTTTACAAACCGTTCTCCCGCTTTTTTAGGTTAATTTTTCTGATAGCTTTTACTGTTAGATAAGCCAGGAGATGCTAAAATACTTAGACGTAAATATATTTTTGAGACATTTTGATAAAATGATAGTTTTTTGGACATTTTAAAATCTTCTAGTTTTTTCTGATACACCTTGTATAATAATATATATGTCAGGGTTTTAGCCTCAAATGCATGTGTAAGCTCATTGTCATTCACCAGTAATACCCGATTAAAGTATACATATGTATTTACATTTTTAGCCAGGAGAGAGAGAGAGCACTTACAAATGGGCCAGTGCGTTAATTGCTGTTTCGCTGTGCAATGGCAGAGAAGCTGGTTATTCTCTCTCCGAATGTATTTTCAATTTAATCGCTATTGGTAAGCATGCATGCAAACCAACTATAAATGATGTCTCACATTGTGAGGTCTAAAAAATAGTTGAATAGGTAGTCTATCAATTGCTATTGTCTTATGATTATACTAATATGCTATTGGTTCAGTATGACACAAAATATTTGTATGTTTTCGCATTTAATTTCATTCGGAGCCTTATTCATATTTGCGCTGACACATATTTTCTGCATGCAATTACATTCGGCATAAATTAAATATTTTTAAAATTTCATTTGACATGAAAATTTCGTTATGTGTGGCACTCAAAAACCAAAACTATCAACCGGAAGCGTTCTGTTGTAAATTGTATATAATCGCTCGAACATGCTAATTGCATTATGGTGGATGGTAGAGAAGTCTTTGCTCGGCGGCGAGCAGTTTCTCTATTACAGAAGGCCACAAGATTGATCGGAGAATGCTATGGATCTGTAAATAATTCAACAGCACCAGTTTCAAACAGCAGGCCTATTCAAAACGCGAGTTGCTAAGGTCAAAACATATCGAATGCCAGTACCAATTCAATACCTTCCTCATCAACTCCCAACACTGTCAGCGAATCCACTGAGTAAGTGAAAGAAACATGCTTTTGCCAAATACAAAGTACGTGAAACGTGGACACACACATTTTTTTGCTTGGCTGATCAAGAAAGAATTGTGGCTCCAAATATAGCTTTAAATCGCGCTTACAAAAAGCTGGCTTGGGCCTTAGAAAATTTTGTTCCAATTGGAAAGCGACAGTGGCAGAAGTAAAAACAAAACTTGAAGAGGTTTATCCAAAGTTAGGAAATGGAGTAGGCTTTGAAATTATAAGGTGTGGTTCAATGGGCAATGAATTGATGGGTAATACAGCCACTGCGCAGCGGATACAGTGTGCCATTTTTACAGGATGCAGCAGGACTGGGTCAAGCTATTGCTTTCATCACGCCAATACAAACCAACTTAGATATGCAACCAGAGCCTGAACAAACTATATGCAGTTCTGAGGTGAACATTCAACAAAATTCATTAGCCATTTTTTATCAGAAAACTTTACTAATGACTTATCTTCACGTTAAAAACTTTTGTATCAAGCCATCCTAGATATTAATAGAAATTATTTTTTGCTGTTCATAAAAATGGTGAAAAGGGTACTTGTGTTCTAGAAATTCTTCCAAGTGAGAAAATAAAAATATACCAGTACTCCTCCAATTATTGTTCTAGAGAACATAAAGGAAACTGTTTCTGTTCCATTAGTGAAGTGTGTCAATTGTGAAGTTGAAGTGTTGATTGCTGAGATCAGAGCACATCAACAAAATTGTTGCAAAGATGATGAATTGTAAGTATAAATTATGAATATACCCATTTATGAATGAAATCTTCTAGTGATAGACAAACTGAATAAATAAGATAATTTCCCTTAAATTCTGATGACAATGCATAGTAAGATACAAAACTTTTTTTATTATGTGATAATATAGGGCAGACATCTTTCAAGGTGGATATCACGATAAAGACACATGTTGCTAAGTACAGCAGTCACTTGTATTTTAATCATCAGTGTAAGGAACGGAAAAAGTATTGTCCTACAGTTTAAGATTCAATCCTTCAATTCGGAGTAGAAAGGGATACAAACTCATGGAAAATACTGGTTCTTCCTTCCTGAGATACGTATTGAGTTACATATGGATGATTGTCACCATTCTATACAGCGTTTGGGCTCTGAATGGTTGCGTTTGTCTGGCAAACTTTCTGAAACGTTGAATAGTTCTGAAGCCCTCTGGGCTGAAGATTTTTGTTGTTCTAAGGAACACATACTTTCCCTCAAACAGAAAGAGAAACATGACAAAAAATTGTTACCTTTATTGGGACACAAACCACCGGATCACTCAGATTCGGCTCTTAAGAAGAGATGGGTTAAAAACCTCTCTACTAAGGAGCTAACAGAGATTGAAAGGAAAGGACTAGAGCATGGTCTTAAGTTTGCTATTGTCGCTTTGGTTGAAGAAGGAATTTTTCACATAACGACGAAACTATAAGCTGACGGTAAAAGCTGAAGTCAGTAGCATCCTCAGACATGCTGAGGCTCCCCGGAGAAATATTGACAGTAACGTATTCAAAGCTTTGCTTTCTTTGAAGAAAGATCCAGACAGGGTTGTGTCTCAGCCCTGTGCCTCAGCAGATAAAGGCAATTGCGTTGTTATAATGGACAGAGGAAAAAAACTTTTGCGAGAAAGCAAGTGCATTGCTCAATGACAAAAACACCTATAGTGTCCTTAAGTCTGACCCAACTGGTAAGACTGAAAGAGAATTGAACAAACGCCTATTGCTCTTTAAGAAAGCTAACAAAATTAGCAAGGTCACTTATAAATTGTTGCGTAGACGCGATTATTATCGATTGTTATCTCCATGATTCTATGGCTTGCCGAACATTCATAAGTCAAGAATACCTTTGAGACCTATCCTGTCTTTTGCTAATTCTCCCACTTATAATCTTTTGAGGTATGTGGCTAGAATATTGTCTCCTACTGTTAGGAATACTGTCTACACAGTAAAAAACTCCACTCATTTTGCTGAATTTATTAGAGGTGAACTCTAAACGCAGATCAAGTGCTCCTATCATTTAATGTTGTTTTCTTGTTTACCAAAATCCCTGTCAATCTTGCCATCAAATTTGCTGAAAAAAGACTCACAGAAGATGTTTCTTTATCACAAAGAACATTGTTACCTGTGGAGGATATAATTGATCTCTTATCCTTTTGTCTCAATACAACTTATTTTTACTTTCAAAGGCAACTATTACCAGCAGGTTTTTATGACAACAATGGGATCCCCGGTCTCAGCAGTAATTGCTAACCTAGTAATGGAAGATGTTGAGCAAAGAGTTTTAGCCTCTAGTCCGATTAAACCTTTGTTTTGGAAACGATATGTTGACAATGTGGCCTCTACGGTTAACAAAAATGAGATTGATAATTTGTTGAAACATTTGAATTCTATTGGGCCATCAATTCAATTCACTGTAGAGCACAAGAGTGAGGGAAAGTTGGCTTTTTTGGATACTTATGTTCATAGAAATATCAAGGGCAGTTGCAAAACTTATGTTTACCGTAAACCTACACATATGGAGAAATATCTATCCTTCTACTCACACGATCCAAAAAGTCCTAAAAAGTCTGTTAAAAAACTTTGTTTCAAAGAGCTGAATCGTAAACATCCAAATGCGTTGCTAGGGATAAGGAGCGTGATTATGTCCTCTGTGTACTGAGAGAAAACAATTATCCACGAAACTTTTTAAATTATTGTCTAAAATCCCCTGTCCCGACTAGATGCAATTTTTCAGAGGGTGATTCTTCAAAAACAGGTTTTGCTATAGTTCCATACATTCAGGGAATTACAGAACCAATCAGGAGGATCCTGAATAATTGTGGTATAAAAGTTGCCTTAAAACCCTTTCAGACATTGGGACATATTTTCGCAAAACCCAAGGATCGCATAGCGACTAAACAGAATACTCATGCTGTATACTCTATACCATGTGGTGATTGCGAGAAAGAATATCTAGGTGAAACAAAGCTCCAGTTCGGCACACATTTAAAACAACATAAAAAGGCTGTTTCGAACTTAGACAGTTCAAAATCAGCTTTGGCAGAACACATGTGTCAAACTAACCATAACATTGCGTGGAACAATTCAAAGGTCATTACCACTAATGATCGTTATGGACAAAGGTGTTGTTTGGAAGGCTGGCATAACTCTGAAGAAGTTACCCGTCAGTATTAGCAACCTTAAGCATGTAAGACGCGAACGCGATGATGACAGCTATCAATACAATGGGTCATTGAAAAGAAATGAATAATTAAAGACCCATGATGGGTTTTAGAAGTTGTCTTCATTCTGTTTACATGGGAAAACATGGTTTTTTGCATCTTGCCTAGAACGGGTGCATTTCAGGACCCAGCGAGCCCTACCTACCTTACCTAGTCACTAAATCGGTACAATTAATAATATACAACACCAACTTTGCTATAGCATTTATTTAAAGGAGAATTTCAGCCTCGTCGTCGTTGTGTTGCCGTCCAATGTGCTTAAGGTCCCTATTGTTGACAGTCTTGACGATGTGCTTCGGCTTATACGGCCGACAAGTGGACAAGCCCTTATAAGGCTAACTGTTGCCAGAGATTCAGTGTTTGAAGATAGCATTGCCTTTTTTAAGGAGCGTAGTTTTGATTTTTCAAAGCCCATGAAAATTACCTTCGATAATATTTCATCATTTTAATGAGAATGTTGTTGTTTTCTATGAGTATCCATCTTTTCGAAGGAAATTATTCGTGTTTTCTTCCTTTTCACAACACGGATGCATTACGTTCAAATCTGTTCAAAGTAGCTGGAAGAATGGTAACCACGTCAATTATCCAAGGTGGTCCAGGTTTGCCAATATTTTTGCATGCAGTTTATCTATACTTTCAGCACAGGAACCCTGATGAAATTAGTCAACACGTCAGCCAAGACGATGTTATCGATGTAGAAGTCATTTGATACATTAGCAAAGGTACTAGAGTATACACTATATGATATACAGTCAATTTTTGATCAAATGATATGCATTTTAAGAGCTCATAAAATCGTTCCCTCAGGATCTAACCTACGAATTGATTGACGAATACAAGTTTGCTGGACGCACACACCTCTAAATTTTAAAGGCCCATTCTTTCAAGCCAACGTTAGGGAAGTCCTTCTGAATTTTCGATATCACTTTGTCTAGTTGATTATCAAAGATAGCTCAGTAAGAGTTGGCAGCAGATAATCCAAATTCATGCTTTTTCCTTTCTACAGTTTGTTTGCTTGTACCGAATAATTCAGCAATCTCCACCACCTTGAATTTTTTCTCTATTAAAAATTGAAGCTGTTCAAACAGGATTTTGAACTGTGGCCTTTCTCTCTGACCACTGAAGATTCTTTCTGCTGCCACTATCCTTGAATTCTCAGTATTACTACGCATGCATTCTTTAGCCAATGGTATGCAGCTAACCACATCCTCATTTAAGATTTGTGTATCGAAATATCTTACAACAATATTGTATATCCAATCTAAACGTTGCTCTATTCCATCTAGCACATTTTCATCAATACTACCTTGCAAAAGCCTTATTGATGAGTTGAGAATATTTCAGAGTTCTGCTCTTATTTGCAGGCGATTTCCTTTGATTGCATAAGTCTGAAATCAAATGAAATTGCTCCAAATGAAATTGGTCATAATGAGATTGTTCCGAATGAAATTGGTCATAATGAAATTCTCAAGAATGAAATTGCTCAGAACGAAATTGTTCTGAATAAAATTCTGAACAAGAAACAGCTTTGATTGCAAAAACGCATTTGAAAATGGTGTAATTGAATGTCTGCATTTAATAATTGAACACTTAATTTTAAAAGTGAATGAGGTAATATTGGCTGATATCACACCTCATAGCCTTCGGTTTGCAGGGGATGGCTATTATGGGCATGTGCAAACTCTCTCACAGCTTTTTTCACTCATGTAGTAGTTACATCATCATGTAACGTGAGATAGATACACATAAGATAGTGAGAGCATTGATATATAGAACAGGAGCACATAACACATAGACTTTACACTTTTCATTGACATACAACTAAGTAAAAGAATATTATATTGGCGCTGAGAATGGCGCAAGAACTAGACGTGCAAAATGCAATTACTCAGCCCTCTGTCTCAATCCAGCCAGTCGGTGAATTCAACCCTGAATCCATAGTTGGCGAAAGTTTGGGCACTCGTTGGAACATTTGGATGCAAGACTTTGAAATGTTTATTCTGGCTAGCGGTATTTCTGATCTGAAATGAAAATGCGCCTAACTCTTGTATCAAGCCAGACAATGTGTTCGCGAGATTTTTCGGCAAATTCCACACACAGGAAGTGACAACGAATATGATGTGACAAAGACAAAGCTAAAAGAATATTTTGAACTGCAGCAGAACCGACGTTACGCAGTCTATTGCTTTCTTCAAACACATCAAGAAGCACATGAAACCCTTTACCAATTCCATACTCGTCTGCGAACCTTAGCGCAAACATGTTCGTTTCATGACTTGGACTTTGAGATTGAGCAAAAGATTATCACAGCAGGTTCGTCATGTCGAATTCATAAAAAAGCCTTACGGGACCCAACGTATGATCTTAAATCAATTCTTATTGAGGTCAACGTGATGAACTCAGTACGTACCAAGCCCGCGACATTGAATCGAAAGAATCAAACCCTGAACGAGTAAATGCAATGGCATCTAAAACATGTCGAAATTGCGGGGGAGTATGGCCTCACGAAGGACAATGTCCCGCACATGGAAAACAGTGTCGCAAGTGTGAGAAACTTAATCGTTTCACTCAAGTGTGCCGAGGACAATCACAAAGTCAAGAAAACTAGGTCCCTCTACGAAACACACGTGAGAGAAAACCGCTGAATCCACTCAGTAAAAATGACAGTGACGCGGACAGTTCGGATAACGATTATTTATATTCAGTGTCACATAACAAAGCTCCAAAGGTCAATGTGAAAATATGTAACCATTTATTCAAGGCAACCGTGGATACTGGTGCGAGTATCAACGTTATCAACCAAGGCACATATTCGCAAATGAATGACATTAAACTTCAGCCAACAAACATTAAAGCTTTTGCGTACAATGCGGCTAAACCAGTACACTTTCTCGGTAAATTCGAAGAGACAATCAAGACTCGTAAGTAGTTACTGTGAAGAGTTAGGACTTATCAGTCTTCACATCAACAAAATCTCCAACACACAAGACCACACACCTGATAACATTCTAAACAAACATGCTAAAGTTTTTCATGGTCTTGGTAAGCTAAAAGGAGACAAAGTCAAACTGAACATTGACAAAGAATACCCACCACAAGCCCAGCAACAGCGACAAATTCCGTACCATATCCGCGAAAAAGTGAAAAGCGCCTTAGAACAATTAGAGAAAGAAGATATCATCGAGAGAGTTCCCAAAGACCAGCCTACACCATGGCAGAGTTCGCATATGCATTGACATGCGAGCTGCCAACGAGACCATCAAGCGTGTACGCCATCCTATTCCCACGGTAGAAGATATTAGTTTCGAGCTAAATGGTGCAACATGCTTCTCTAAGTTAGACCTCTTTTACCACCAACTGAACTTGACAAAGACAGTTGGTATATAACGACACTCAGCACACATACTACCGTACTGCTTTAAATCTAGTCTATGAACATAATAATCCACAGACATGGAGATCCATTTGCCTAAAATGTAACAAGGCTCGAGTCCTGGCTAGACCGATCACTTGTTGTTTTTAGAAAGCCGGGATTTGGCTCTCACCGCCACTGTCGTTGCCTCTTGCTGACCTTGTGTGTATAATTTATATTGGTTGGTTCAAATCCTACAGTGGCAGTGGCAGACAGTGTCGGTGGAAGTTGAATCTTGTATACGTTTTGTTTTCCCTGTTTTATCTTGTTTCGCTCTGCTTTGTTTTGTCTCGTTTCGTTGTTTTGTTCTATGTTGTTTGTTGTTGTTTCGTTTGGCTGCGCTTCGTAGTAAATGTACTCTGTTTTTTGTAAGGGCCCACTGTAATTGGTGTATACTGTTGTGGTATCCCTGCCAATTGATTTTTACAATTGGCGAATTTCAGTAAATAAATAAATAAATAAATAAACATGTTGGTTTGTTCCGGTATAAACGACTCAACTATGGAACAAACGCTGCTGCCGAGATATTCCAGTATACCGTACAGACACAACTCCAAGGTCTCACTGGCATCAAGAACATCGCCGACAACATTCCAGTACATGGAAAGACACAGAAAGAACATGGCGAGAACTTAGAACACGGTCTGAAACGTCTCCCTGAGCATGGTCTACGTCTAAATCATGCAAAATGCAGCTTTGTAAACAAGACACTTGAATTTTTCAGTCAAATCTTCTCCAAAGCAGGAAGCAAACCTGATCCTAAACCTGTCCCTGCGCTCAAGAATGCTCCAGTACCAACAAACCTCTCGGAAGTACGAAGCCTGCTTGCAATGGCGAATTATAGCGCTAAGCACATTCCCAATTTTGCCACCATAACAGCCCCATTACATAATCTGACTAAAAAAATACGCCATTTACGTGGACAGATACCCACCAAAACGCTTTCCATTGACTAACAACTGCTTTAGCCTCAGCGCCTTGTATGGCTTACTTTGATACAAATAAAAGAAACATTAGTTTATGTTG